ATATATATTAACACTTATTTTAAAATTTTATATAAAAAAATTAGAAGTGACACATGCAATTAAAATGTCATGGACAATGATAGATACTACTTGAGATGGTCACATAACCTTTTAGTAAATACATAATTTAAAAAAAATTACATAATAATATATATTAAAATAATAGTTTTAAATTTTAGAAAGGTAAAAAAACAGAATTTTTTTATAGTGAATAAAATCAAAATATGTTTATTTTACAGAAATTAAAACAATATTTAAATTTGTTTAATTTATTAAAGATGTTTCTGCAAATGCTTAGCCCAATTCAAAAATAATTCAGTAATTAATTTCATTCTAATAAATTAGAGAGTAGTCACATCTTTTAATTGATTAGAATCATATAATAAGCTTTTTTTTAAAAGAAATATTAAATGTAAATAATTGAGATGTAATAAATTCTATCCACAATATTTAATACGTTAGTATAATTAATTAGGATGAAATTTTAAATTATATTACTTAATATACCCATAGAAATTAAGAAAATGAACATAATTTGATCGTAAGGTTATGAGTCTAATTAGTAGGACTTTAACCAACAAGCAAAGTTTATGTAACTATGAATTAAGACATGATTTGCAATGGTGAAACATGACATTATAAATGATGAGCACGCGTATTTTAACTTTATAATTTCTCAACTTACGAATATTTCTGATATTAAAAATATGATCTTCTCAAAATAAGGGGGACAACTATACAGTTTAGGGAGAGAGTTCGTCTTCATTAGTGTTGGTTTGATGTTAATTTTGCTAAAAGGAAGGACGAAGCTCCAAGTATAAACGGAATCAACACTTTAGAAGCTATTGATCTTTATGAAAAGTGAGAGCAATCTACTCGTCTCTATGTTAAGTTCACAAGAATCAACATGATAATGTTCGCGGTCCTTTAAAAGCCATTCATGAGTAATTTGCTACATTGACAAGTTCTTAGCCAACACCTTTATAATGCAAATTCATCCATGAATCCCACTACAACTTTATAATATAAATTCATCCATGAATCTCACTACACCTTTGTAATGCAAATTCATCCGTGAATCTCACTGCAAAAAGAGGAATGCGCGATCACATCATGAGCATAAGGGACCTAGTGGCTCAATTATACGCATTGGAGATTACCATGTCTGGGTCTTTTAAAATACATTCAATACGAAATGTCTTCGATCACAATACCTTTACTCACATACGTTGTTCGTTGTCATTATAATCTTACCAGATTCAAATGAAAGCTTTAACTGCAACTTCCCCCAAAAGTGCCACAAAAATTAAATTAACTCTGGTGATGGGCACAACGCTAAAAGTTAATGTCTTCCCAGATATAAGCTTCAAAAATACACGCAGGCAGGGATGCTTTTAACACCTACATTGTTGTGGGGGGGGTGGGGAAGAACAGGTTTATCTAGGTGATACTAGGACTACTCCGACTCTAAGAATGGGTAAAGTTCTTTTATTGCACACATCTATGAAGACATTGGCTTTGAGTGATGTGCTTTATGAAGACATTGGCTTTGAGTGATGTGCTTCATGTGCCCTCCATTAGAGTTAATTTAATTTCTATAGAACTTGTGGAGAAAGATAGGGTTAAAGTGTTATTTGAATATGATAAGATTGTAATGACAAAGAACAACGTATTTGTGGGTAAAAGGTATTGTGATCAAGGACCTTTTGTATTGAATGTTTCCTAAACAGTTAATGAATTTGCTCTTTAGTTGCTTATATGGTGCATATTGCCTAAGCAAAGCGCACAAAATGTAGTGTACCAGAAAAGACTCTGAAATAGTAATCTCCAAGGCATTCAATTGAGTCACTATATCCCTTATGTGCATGATGTGATCATGCACTCCTCTTATCCCAGCAAGCTTCACAGATGAAAACTACATTATAAAAACTACATTACAAGGGTGGTAGCAAGCTACTTGTCAAATGTAGTAAATTTTTCGTCAATAGTTTTCGAAAGATCCCTACATTATCATGTTAATTAACAAAACCTTAGATACTAGTAGAAATGTTGATCTTTATGAACATCATAAAGAGACAATGAGACATCTCCCATTTTTCATAAAGATCAACATCTAGAGTTCATTAAAGATGTTGTGACCACTCTCTAATTTATTAAAATTATATTAATTAGGAATAAAGAGCTAAGCATTTGCATAGACAAATAATGCAAATAAATTGAATAACAATTCATACATATTATCTAACTTAATTTTGTATGTACAATAACTACAAATTTATACATTTTTAACAAAATAAATACAATTCACAACCTATAATACTGAAAATTGACTATAGAACAATGGTTAGATCCTAATCCTATACAGGCATCAAATGAACCTAGGCTTGACTTCGTCCTAAGCCAATTTATCCTCTATATTTTCCTTTAAACTAAAACTAAAAGCATTTATTACCCTAGACACCAGCAATTCAAAGTTTCAAACTCCTACACACAAGGTTACATAACAAATCTAATAACCCGTACTTCGCATTGTCCATGGAATCCCAAACTAGATCCTTCCCGATGAGTGGTGCTTGCCTTCTGATTTCCAATTTGCTTAACTTTGCAACCACTACTTCATTTATCAGCAATGGTATCAGATTGAAGGTGAGAAATAGATTTAGGATTTTAATTAGTGAACAATTGCAGTGTTTGTGGTTTGTGTTAAAAGAATCAGGAATAATGTCTGCACCAAATTATTGAGAACCGGTTATAAGAGAAGCATTGCAAATCGGTTCTTTGTTTAAAAGGTTCGTATTTATAGCTCTCATTGTGGTGAAGTTTACAGTGCAATTCAGTTCACCATAATTTTTCAACAGCTCTAGACTTGTGATACATGCTGGTGCACTGCTCTCTAATGTAGTGGGTACAAAAAAAACAAAAGCATGGTAACAAGCTTGCTTAGAAATACATGGAAAGCTTATCTGAAGCTACATCAAATGCTGTTGTTACATACCTTAGCTACGACTTATTTCCCGTGACATGTGCATTATCAATATCGCTAGTATTCAATCACCCCAATCATCTTCAATAAAAGACAAGAACAATTTGACAGTATGTCAACTAAGTTGAGAGAGCACCGCTAAGGCGCTAACATAAGGAGGAGTAGCCTAAACCAAAAATGTCTCTACCAACCTATGTAATCATTTAAGAGACAGCATTCAAATTACCCAAAATCAACAGAAACCAAACTTCTTCGTAATAACTCAACGCAAAAATTGAAATTTGATATTAGTCCTATCATCCAAGCAAGGAATTGCAGAAGAGGAGGGAAAACAGTAGTAGTTGAATATGCATTGCACTAACTCTGCTTGGTTATAGTATAGGTGCCGCCTCCACTATCCATCCATACAAAAACATGGAATGGACATGGAAGTAAGTAACGGCCTGATAATATTAAGCAGCAACACTGATTCAACTAACGTCACAAAACTTCATATTTTTACGCCAGAACAAAAGAAAACCATTTCAACACTACTTGAATCTTGAACACTGTTGTTATTATAATCTGATAATCTAATATGGTACAAAGCATAACAATGTCGATGCCGTTCAACTAGCCTGAAGTTTCTAATAGAAGAACAGATATACTAATTTGTTATTTATAAAAATCATAAAAAATACTTAAAGTATTTCTCAAATTCACTATCCAAACCTCCAACAGGCTTCCTGCTTCAAAGCATTAGCCACCATTTTTACGCCCAGGCACACGTATAATCACAACTAGTGTCGATTGCAAAGCCTATTCAAGTACCTGTTGAATACACAAACACAGTTATGTACATACAAAATGAAAATATGTAAACTAAAAATGAGTAACACATTCCCGTAGTTGGCCAAAGAATTTCGCAAATCAACACATAACCTTAATGACTAGACAGATGAACAACGCATTACACAGAAATCATGACACAACAAAATAAGAAATGCGATCTCGGAAGGAACAAATACCCTGGGACAACTCGCAGCAAGCGCGCGATTCGACGGAAATGTGAGAAGTGAGACGAGCGGCGGCGTCGGCGCTGTGGAGAGGCATCAGCGACTGCGCACACCCGAGAAATCCCAAACTCCTAGTAAAATAAACTCAGAATTGAGAAAAGATGAATAGTTATGAAAACATAGGTGAGAAAGGGAATAAAGACGAGTTACCTTACCTGGGGACTGTAACGAGGGGGCGGCGAGGGTGGAGAAGATGAGAGCGTAGGGAAGGAGAAGAAGGACGGTGGAGGCCAGAAATGGAGGAACGAGTTGGTGTGGCTCTTGCGGCGGAGAGCAACGACCGAGAGAGAGATCCACATCGCCACGCCATTTCTTTGCTTCTGCTCTCTGCGGAGTACGGATAATTGGAACCCGCAATTAGGGGTTTAGGTAGCTGTGGGCCTGTGGCCACGAAGCTAAACCCTACTGTTGTCGACAGAGCACTCAGCCCACATTGGACTGGACCATGGCCCAAATGCCTTGTGCAGCACTGTAGCCTAATCCACTCAGGACGCAAAGAAACAGAATTTAATAACATGTCATTAACATCCCTTTACCAAAACAGCATTTCATGTGATTGGGTCCATTGGGATACTAATTTGTGTAATTTTATCCTTAGAAAAATATTTTTTAATAAAATTAATAATTTCTTTTTTTAAATGTATTTGTCTAAAAATTTATATCAAATTTTATTTTTTTAATAACTTTTTAAATAATATAAATTTAATTATTCAATCATTGAATCATATGATATTATAATTTATAGTAAAGATAATATATATTAAATCTCTCATTATTTAAATTTTTTAGATATAATATCTAAAAATAAATATATACACATATTTAATATCATATTATGCATTCAAATAATATATTGTGATGACATGATAAATAAATTTTAAAAAATTACACAAAAATTAATACATATAATTTTAAATGTGATATTATATAATTTAATGATTAAATTAATTAAATGTATAATATAAAGAATTATTAAAAATATAAAATTTAATATAAATTTTTAGATTATATTTTACATAATTTATATTATATCTAGAATTATTGAAATATGTCACAGTTTGTGAGCCAATCCAACCCATCACGAACTTGAGTAAAGTTAAATTTAAAAAAAAAAATCAAATTTTAATATTGTTAAAAATTCAATTCCACCTATTAAAAACTTGTCTCACTCAGGTTGAATCCGTGGTGAACTAGATTGATTCATGATCTCCCTCAGAAAAAATATATATATGAAAACCTACAACTCGCTTATGTAAAAAAAAATAAATTAAAAACTCACAACCCGTAAACAAAAAAATTAAAAACTCATAACCCATTAATTCATTTAGCCGAATGTCATACTAGGTGGTTGTTTATTAGATTAGAGACTTATTTTCATGGAAGAAAAAGAAAAAGAAATTAAAAAGATAGTATGATTAAATATAAGAAAAAAATATTTTAAAAAAAATAAATTTGACTGAATAAATATTTAAAAAATAATTTAAAACAAAATAGATATTAAAAAAAAAATATGATTAGACATTAAAAAATATATACATATTTTATTTTTTAAAAATTAAATGAGTTAATTACAAATTTATAAACTCATTTTTTAGTAATTCCCTAAAAAGTAAAATAAATTGAGTTGACCACTTGTTAACGAATTCAGTCACGGTGGATTTAGCCGGATGGCTTTGACAGGTCTAACATGTGAGTAGCCCTCAAGTCTTCTAGATCGTATTCAATGTTGACAAGTATGTGTTCTAAATACGGATGCTATTGGGCCTCACGGACGGCAGTACCTCCCATCATCCATCCCATTTAATTTCAGTCTTCATCAAATTTTTATACATTTACCACTATTTATAAGTATTCATAAATAAAATAAAAAGTATATTTATATTTATATTAAAAAATAATTTTGTAAAATATATTTATACTAAATAAATAATTAAAATACATATATTTAGTATAAAAGTAAATTTAACAATTATTTTATGTTTAATTAAATGTATTTTTAATATTTTAAAAATGTGAATATTTATAAGAATGAATATTTTATAATTTATTTTATTATTATTAAATAAATATTTATTTATAACAAAACTTATCTCTGATTATTTTGGTGTAAAAGTATTTGACACTAAAAGCAAAGTTGAAACTTAAAACTTAAAAGTCTAGAAGAGCACATGATTTCATTATGACGTAGTCACGTACGTCAAATGATAGGAGGGAATTATTTTGACGTTCAAAGTTAGAGTCAAAGATGAACTAGTATTTATACCTTTCAAAGTAGAACACATATATATACACGTGTATTTATTAATAAATCCAATCCAACGACTCATCGAGAATTACTAAAAATGGAAGACATCCTTAACAACATCGTTTACGCTCTCATATTTCTTGTCACTCTAAAACTTTTGTTTTTCAGAAAGAGAGTGAAAAACCCACCACCAAGTCCACCGTCTCTTCCACTGATCGGCAACCTCCACCAGTTGAAACCACCAATCCACCGCACCCTGCACTCCATCTCGCAGAAACGTGGCCCCATTTTCTCTCTCCGATTCGGGTCCCAACCCGTCCTCGTGGTTTCATCCGCTTCCGCCGCCGAAGAATGCTTCACCAAAAACGACATCGTTTTCGCGGACCGTTTCCGCTCCGCCTTGACCAAGCACCTCGGCTTCAACCACACGATCATCACAGCGTCGTCGTACGGCGACCACTGGCGCAACTTGCGGCGCATAAGCTCCCTGGAGATTCTCTCGAACCACCGCCTCAACTCCTTTTTGGGAATCCGAAGGGACGAGACGGCGAAGTTGCTTCGGAAGCTCTCTCATGAGGAGTTCACTAGGGTGGAGCTGAGGCCCATGTTTGCGGAGCTAACGTTCAACATTATCATGAGAATGGTGTGTGGGAAACGCTACTACGGCGAGGAACACGATGGGACCAGCGCCGAGGAGGCTAAGAAGTTTAGAACGTTGATGAGCGAATTATCGCAGTTCGGGTTGGGGTCCAACCTTGCAGACTTTGTGCCAGTTTTGAGTTTCTTCTGTTTTAGTCGTCACAGAAAGTTGGCAGAGGCTGGTGAGAAGCTAGACGCGTTCTTCCAGGGTCTCATCGATGAACAACGGAATAAGAAGGAAAGTTCAAATACCATGATTGGCCATTTGCTTTCCTCGCAGGAGTCACAACCTGAGTACTACACTGACCAAATTATCAAAGGCCTTATCATGGTATGACAGGTTTAAATTAATTAAGGTTTACTTTACCATGTTATGTACCTTCACCTATTTCATGAATGAAAAAATTATTTTTTTTTTATTTTGGGTTTGGCAGGCGTTATATGTTGCTGGAACAGAGACTTCTGCTGTAGCATTAGAGTGGGCCATGGCCAATTTGTTGAACCATCCAGAAGTGTTGGAGAAAGCAAGGATTGAAATAGACACTGAAGTTGGACAAGAGCGTTTAATAGAAGAAGCGGATGTTGCCAAATTACCATATCTTCATAACATAATCTCCGAGACTCTGCGATTGCATCCACCAGTGCCTATGTTGCTTCCTCATTATTCTTCCCAAGACTGCACCGTCGGAGGATATGACGTGCCACGGAACACCTTGTTAATGGTGAATGCGTGGGCCATTCACAGGGACCCGGAGCTGTGGGCTGACCCCACAAGCTTTAAGCCCGAGAGGTTTGAGAATGGCCCAGTTGACGCCCACAAGCTGATCCCTTTTGGGCTGGGGCGAAGGGCGTGTCCTGGTGCAGCCATGGCCCAAAGAACTTTGGGCTTGACTTTAGGGTCGTTGATTCAATGCTTTGAGTGGAAGAGGATTGGGGAGGAAGAAGTTGACTTGAGCGAAGGATGGGGAACTATAGTGCACAAGACCATTCCATTGGAGGCCCAATGCAAAGCTCGTCCAATCATCAGCAAGATTTTCTGATTTTTTTTTCTTCTCAATTGTCACGTTCAAATGATTACGTTGAATTAGCCTTGTGTTAGGAATTAGGACAGTTTAATTATTTTTATATAGTTATATTTATATTTCAGAAACTTTCAAAAATAAAAATTAGTGTGTACTATGTTTGAATATTTTTTTATGGATAATAAATTATGTAATGTAAATTAGTTAGTTAATCTCTCGTTGGCTTTGATGTAACTAATGGCTTTGACCCACTTCAAGAATTTAACTAATCTCAACGAATTCATTTCTACTAAACATATTAATTATAGCACTTGGTTATGGTATGCGTTATCCAAACATGATCATTTTAAATTCTCAATGAATTAAATTTAGAAAACATGTCGACTAGTCTAATCAACTAATACGATGCTAAAATACTTTTATAATCAACAATTTTATACTTGAATAAAATCATTTCGTTGATAAATTTCGAGTTTTTTAAACAAGAGTTCAACTACTATGACAATAAGATTTCAAATCCTAAAATGGATTGGCGAGGAAGAAGTTGTAAAGCATGATCGTTCAATTCAAATAAAACAGTACGATGCATTAAAACTAGTCATAATTATTTAAAGATTGCATGGCACATATATATATATATATATATATATATATATATATATATATAGACATAGAT